TTTTTTTCTCCCTTGGTACCTCCCGACGATTATTATAGTTCTTCATCTCCACTCCCCAGAAAATCGGCCCCAGAAAATAGGTCACAGCCTCTCACCTGACGAGACCAGTTAATCTTGTCTCATCTGCTCATCTCTTCCTTTTCCTCTTCCTCTCTTCTTGCTGACTTCCCACTTTTTTACCCCATCTATCTTCTGTCGAACACATACTCCACCTCTCGCGGAGGCTTATTGGGCCTGTTTCCTACGGTGGATGTGCTTTCCGCTCTAGATTTCCCCCCACAAACGCCAAATCATGCCTCGTATCTATCCGAACGCTTAAAGGGACGAGCCTCTAACTCGACATGGTCTCTGGGCCTGGTGCTTCGCCCGGGAATGGTATCACCGGGGGTTATACCGGCAACGACATTGGCTTTAAGATTGCCATTGCGACCCTCGCCGCCGTCACCTGGTACAATGCTATCGAACTCATCATCCTCGTCTTCGTCACCTTTAGCCAGTACCATGGCCTTTACTTCTGGAGTTTGTTCATCGCGTCCTCCGTCGGTCTCGTGCCCTACCAGGTTGGCTTCCTGCTGAAGTTCTTCAACTTGACCGACCAAACATGGCTCTCTGTCACCTTCATCACCATCGGCTGGTGGGCGATGGTCACCGGCCAGTCCCTGGTTCTCTATTCGCGACTGCATCTGGTCTTGGGCAATGCACGCATTCTCCGCCGCGTGCTTGCCATGATCATCGTAGACGCCATTATCCTGCACGTTCCCACCACTGTTTTAACGTATGGATCCAACCTGGCCGGTGGCCGGGCGGCCTACATCAACGGATACAACATCATGGAGAAGATCCAGATGACCGGTTTCTGTATCCAGGAATTCATCATCTCCGGTCTGTACATCTGGGAAACAATCCGCATGCTGCGCCTGGACCCCGACAGAGGTAAACGCAAAATCATGTACCAGCTGGTCGCCATCAACCTGGTCAGTATCCTGATGGACGTCGGCCTGCTGGTGGTTGAGTACAAGGACATGTACATCATGGAGACGATGATCAAAGGTGTGGTATATAGCATCAAATTGAAACTAGAATTCGCCGTGCTGGGCAAGCTGGTGCACCTCGTTCGCAGCCATGTCTGGAAGCCCGAGTCGGTCACCCGCCGCACGTCGAGTTCCCCGATTTCGTTGACGCAACCCGGGTAACATCCGATCTCACACATGCAATACCAGCCACACGCCAGCGCACACACCCCTGGATGGACACGGACGACGTTTCAATCGCCATGTTCGAGCATTCAGGGCTTTCCCGAGACCAAGAGACCGGCCGCTCGGAAATGTCCCATTCATGGAGCGGCGAAACCCACACGAACCATCCGTATCCCGACCGAGAACTTAGTCCAGTGGACTTTACCTCCCTCCATCTGCAGAAGAGCCTCCCATCAAAATCATCAACAGATAGCCCGGGGTGACACCCCGCATTCTCCTTTTTCTCTTTATCAGCTAACCCCTCCAATCCTCGCCCCGTCCCTTCCGCCTGACTCTCAGCCACTGAGCTGTCTTCCTCAAACGAATGACGAGTTATGAGATCACGACGTGCAAAAGTCTCTTGATATACCGAGCATATACACAGACAGGACGGAAGTCCACAGTGACTTCGGATGGACAGAACTACATATAGATACCCACGGGAGGAACTCGTGTACAAAGTATACAAAGCATACCCCCATCGCGCCCGGCTCTCGCCAATTTGGACGAGACCCCTGCCGTGTGTATACTTGCACACGGTAGGTAGGCCGACACAACGAGGCCTAACAGATAGGCCTACTAGATGAAAGCCCGAATTATAATATTCATGTTCAAGTACATAATTCAATCATTACAATCACAATAAAACATTACCATATTACAAAAAACCACACACCTCCAGTGTAAAGAAGTTCGGGCAATTGTCGCGCCGTAGGTTTCATAAATTCAGATGTATATCAAAATTTTGTTCCCCGTAATCCGACTTCTCCATACTTCTCACCTCTATGGATGTCCAGCACGTTCCGAAAGTCAATTTTTTGTAAAAAAAAAAAAGCCCAGCTTGCACGGAAAATGTATCCTTTGATCGTATCCTACACTCGGGCACGCTATGAGAGAACTTGATTCTTGGATGCTGTAGTGTCCTGTCCGGATTGTCTGGTTAGTTGCTCCAAGCAACACGCTTATCCAAGTTACCAGATCCCTGGAAGGGGCCTACCTAGGTCACACACGGCGAGTGCCGTTCAGATGCACACGCATTGGATTAGGGCTTTTTCGCTTTCTGTATTACGATCAAAGCGTTCCATGCCTGGGTCCCTGAGGCATTTCCTGCTGCAGTGTCTACTTCGTGAAGCGTAGGTGGCACGGAGCTATGAACGATTCACCACAAAAGGCAGACGGTGAGGGCGTTGGTTAAACCGCCACGCGATAACCTAGAGGGGGGTCAACATAGGTTGAGGTCTCGACTATGTTGAACTACTCTGTACATGGTGAGTAGAGGTGAGATACGCGGAAGAATGGTGCAGATATATCTGTTCTCATGCGTGTGGTAGGTGTTTTGGTTATATACAGGTTTTGATAAGCGCCTGAAAGCCTACTTAATTAACCACATGGTCACCACCACACAGTAGACATTTCAATGTATATAGACTTTAGGAATAGTAATCAATAATTTATCAGCGTTTAATCATTGTATTTTTCTTCATCTCTCTGTATAAGTGCCTTTAGGTATACGGGGATTATTTGGTAGTATGTCTTCGAGATACTGATAGCCAGTAGGTATAGGATACTTACTCCGTAGATGCGGATGTCTTCACTGTCTTATGGCCTCAATATTTGAGTGGCTGTAGTCCTGATGGTTAAGAGGAGGCTCTTTGATGCGGCGAAATGGCTAAGTGGTGGTGTGCAGGGAGGGGATATATGCAGCTGCATCGGCCTGGATTGGGTAGTAGTCTGCTACGTGGATGATGTGATGTGGTCAACACAATACTTCCTCTGGATCTTGGTCGAGTTTTTCCATCGATTAGTTTGATGCCCCGCAGGTAACTGTGCTGGTTCCTTGGAGGCGTGTTTAAGAGGTGCATTGACGACCCGTTTTCGGCCGAGTCCACGGGGGCGTCAAAGTTGGGCATATTCCCCAGTGCTATCAGGTATGCAATGTTCCTCTTTAACCAAGATCCCGCGCTGTGAGATCGATCGCAACTGGCGCGGGACGTACAATGACATGTTGGTTATGCTAAATGCCCTATTCTAGGGAATCTACGGGTAACTGGGATTCTGAGTTAGTATAACGAAAGCTCCAGAATACAGAAGACTCTTAAAGCACGAGATGGTCGACGGACATGCTTCACAGGAGGCAGCAGAGCGAGGCCCGCAATGCTGTCACAGTCGGCTTGAGTGACCAGAAGACGATGGAGCAGTTGTCGTCCTTTGGAAAAAAGGCCCAGGATAGCCGGAAAGACGCAGCACGTCGGCGTGCTTGGAATGAGAGTGCTGGTGGTCAAGCAGCGACTCAAGGAAGCACGGGGCAGACTGGGGGTCAGGGACAAGCATGACATCAAACAATTCCATGCTTCAACTGACAGAAGGTGACCCAAAGTTAGGCGGTTCTTCTTGAGCGGCTGTGAAGGCGTCACGAAGATGGCCTTCATAAATCTCTTTATCTTTCACCTTGCCATCAAGGAATTTTTGTATGTCCGGTGTCCAATATAGCGAGATGGTCCGTTCAAACTCCATCATCCCAGCGTCATTCAGTCTCGAGAACCTGGGCTGTATGTGCTCTAGGAAGATATTATATAATCCTTTGGGAGTTTCCAGGGCGTGAAAATACCAGAAATTCCCAGTTTCCAAGCCTTTCCTCATGATACTTGTGAGACCGGAGGTTTTATTCCCCGCCCGAGCATGAGCCTGTTCTTCCTCCTCGAAGACATTCATGAATTCGGCATGAACTTTGCTGAAAGCATCGAGATGCTCTCCATTGTATAACAGGCCCACCCCACGACTAGTGAGCCAGTAGGGCGGATGGAGCATCTCAACCGGTAGTGAACATGTCCACTCTAGATCGACGAGGGACTTAATGTTCCAGTCACTGTCGACAAAGAGGTTACTTTGATGTAGATCCGTCAAGGTCATGATAAACGGACCACGCCGGTAATCGCGGCAGGAGAAATGTGGCAGAAGAGCTCGCATAATGGTCAGTGTTGACAACTGTGCTTCACCATCGGCCTTGTCCCGTATTGAATTCGGGGCGTGGCGCAAGCGACTGTCGTGATAGGATAGCAAGTCCATAAAGTAGCTATCGCTTGTTGAATATGTAGGGTCCCTGTCCATGTTGGTGGGAACAGACTCGTTTTCTAGATGGTGAAGACGGAGCGTTAGAGGGCGATTGGTATGTTGTATAAATCCCTGATTGTCGATCGTTAGAGATCCGATGCGATCAAAAGGAGACTGAGCTAAGGATAGGATAATTTGACTCAGCCCGCGAAAAAGGTTGGTACTACGCTTTTGGTCGTGGCGTAGCTTATCCCAAGATTCAGAAAGCATCATAGTATCGGTACTTCCGACGTGATCCATGATAAGATATCCGGTTGTCAGGTTAACAGGGCAATTTCGACTTAAGTAAGGTGGTCGGAGCGGATACCCAAAAACAGACGATACTACACGGTGAATATACCATTTCAGTCGGCTGAAGAAGGGGGTTTGCTCAATTGCGGTGAACCAGGCCAGTGCTAGATTGACCCATAAATTAATCCAGCAACTCACTCACCCATGGTCCTTGCGCAAACGCAAAACCCCATAATTGAGGTATTGGTATAGAAGGACAGTTCTGCCGAAGCCAGATAAAGGTTGCAGCCTCGCAGCGAAGCTTCTCGTCTGCATTTCCTGGGTATTGAATCTCCCCGTCCTTGTATGATAAAGGAAATCTAATGAGAACCCGTTTGGGTGCATTATCATTCTGCCCGTCAATGTCAACTGGTATGCACACGTTGAAGCTCCCGGCAATCCACTCTTTGACTTCCCCGACACGGCATGTCTGCTTTTTGTTTAGGTTCATGTGATACGACACGATCGACTCGATTACGATGCGGTTCTGGTAAAGATATATATAGAACTCGAGTCGCCGTTCGGGATAGGAGAACTCTTGGAGGACATTGTCATCGTCGGCTAGGGCTGTGGAGAGACTGATCTGTCCGTGGAGAAGCGGCAGCGCGCGCTGCATGCTGACTGGTCGGATGGTTTGAGGGCTTTATGGTGCAAAAGAATGCTAGTATAGCCCTCATGTAACGTAGAAGGGTCAAGTTCACAGGGTTATACTCCCACTCACTGGCCTATTGCCTAAGAATGCGTGGAGATGAAGGACCCAAGGAGTGAGTGGAGATAGATCTGGAGAAAGGTCAACATGCCAAGGCCGCCAATCCTCTTTGGGGTTGAAGTGGTCATACGCTTGTGCCACTATCAGCTTCGCGACTATATCAACGGCGTCCGTGGTGGGCGCCAGTATCGCAGCGGTTAGAGACAAACCGGAGATGAAGAGGCCGCATGGGATCCAGTTGATAAACCCGACGGTCGGCATTCCCTTGCCCCAGTATATACAAATATCCCGGTGTCGGCGTCTTGCACATGAACTCTTCCGCCGCTCTAACTGTACTATCTCGATTCTGGGTGTCGGCAATGCTATCTCGACAAGCCTGGTTGCACTCCTGGCTTGTTAGGGGGGCATATGTTACGCTTGGGACTCTGACAACTCCTACGAGTGAATAGGATGGGGGAGAAGTCTCTCAATTGGCCTGATGGCCTTCCACCGCTGAATGCTGTCCTGGAGTCTGTGTCTTTGTACTGGTTTACTGACACATTTCCTCGATCTATCATCATCGGAAGGTAGCCGATGTTACTCTAGAGACGTACATGCACTCGAGAACACTCTGAGTATCTTCAGCATCCATTCTCTTTGGCAGGATGACGGCCGAGTCGTCCGGTGGCATACATTCTGGACGCAGTCCACCTGTTGTTTTCGAACCCCATTGCATCGGCTTCGAAGCCGCCCGCAGATGCGTTTAAATGGTTGCCTCGGCCACCTATATGTTGCCTCTGTCTAACACAAGATTGTACAGCGACGATTATAACCATCGTAGGTTCACACGATCCAAGGCAATATTGATGCTATGCACGGTGACGCCAAT